CTTGCCTGCGCCTTGGGCCGGCCCTGGGCGGTTGGGGAGCTGAGGGGACTGGGGGACTCCGGAGGCAGGTGCATGGAGCTGAAGGGACTGGATGCCGCCATCTTGTGGCTGTGGGTGCCGCCATCTTTGAGGGCGGGGCAGGCAATTAGCATATTCCCTCCTTATTGGCTGTGGGTGCCAACATCTTTGAGGGCGTGTTAGTCAGTTAGCATATTCCCTCCTTATTGGCTGTAGGTGCCAACATCTTTGCAATGGCGTGAGTGTCAATTAGCATATTCCCTCTTTATTAGATAGGATAATATTGGTGGCCTTGTCACAAGAGGAAAAGAGATCTCTCTCACTTTACCATGTGTAAGTACAGAAGGATGCCTTCTGCAAGCCAGGAGGAGAACACGCACCAGAAGCTGAACCTGCTGGACCTTCATCTTGGACTTTCTATCCTCCAGAATTGTGAGAAAATAAAGTTATGTTGTTTAAACCACCCAGTCTGCAGTGTTTTGTCATGGCAGCCCAACACATCTAAGACATGGGAATAGAAAGTGTCAGAAGGGAGAATATAGAAGATAAAGTGGAGAGAGACTAAATCATGTAGGGTTGTGAACTAGAGCAAGCATTTTGGATTTTATTCTGAATTGCCATTGTACTCTGGTTGCCAGAATGTAACAAGGAAAGGGTTTGGGTGGCAAGGAGGAACACATTACACCATTTTAAGCAGAGGAGTGATTTAATCTGATTTACATCTGGAAGGATCACCTGCTTTGTGAGAAAATGGTCTGTAGGAAAGCAGTTGAGGAATCAGGGATATTAGTTATGGGACTATTACAAGGGTGATATTGAGAAAATCAGCCATGGTGGTAGTGAGAAAACATTCAGTTCTATATTTATTTTTAAGGTAGAGTGGAAAGGATTTGTTGGTGAAGTGGATGTGGGTGTGAGAGTAAGTGTTGAATAAATATTGCTTCTAAGCCTTTGGTCCAAACAAATGTAAGTATGGGGTACTATTTACAAAGATAGGGAGACTGTCAAAGGATGGAAAAGTGGGAGGAGAGAGGAATCAAAAGTATATTGTTGAACAAACTAAGTTATTTTGAGTTGTGAAGATATTAAATAGGCAGTTGGTTTTATAAGTCTGGGGTTTAGGGGAGACATTGGAGTTTTTGATTTAAAGTTTGGCCCGGCTGGTGTGGCTCAGTTGATTGAGCACCATCCTATGTACTAGGAGGTAGCCAGGTCAGAAGCCTGGGTTTCAGGCTCGATCCCCATTAGGGGGTGTGCAGGAGGCAGCCTATCTAATGTTTCTCTTTCATTGATGTTTTTCTCCCCCTCTCCCTTCCTCTCTCTGAAATCAATAAAAACATTTTTAAAACTAAAGTTTGGAGTATCAGTATATATATCAATATTGTCAACCTTGAATGTACTTTATAATCAATTTGGGAACTTTCAAAAAAATTTCTGAGCCTGGCCCCATCCCTATAGATTCTCATTTAATTTGATCATGCTTAGGCATTCATGTTTTAATTTGATTAGTGGTTCGGTTAAACATTTTTTAAAATAGCTTTTATTAAGGTATAATTGACATACAGTGTACTGCACACAATTAAAGTATACAATTTGATAAGTTTCAGCATGTGAATACACCTGTGAAAAAACATTTCCACAATTAATATCATGAACATATTTGTCATCATCAAAAGTGTGTTTGTATCCTTTTCTGGGTTTTCCTCCCGTGTGTACCTCCCTTCCATCCTCTGGCACTAGGCAACTACTCATTTGCTTTCTGTATAGATTAGTTTGCATTTTCTAGTATTTTATAAGTGGAATCATACAATATGTACTTCTTTGTATGACTTCTTTAAACATAATTGTTTTGATAGTCATTTATGTTGTTGCATGTATCAGTGCTTCAGTTCTCTCTGTTGCTGAGTAGTATTCCTTTGTAAGAATTGTACCACAGTTTCTTTTTAAATTTTTTTATTAAACTTATTGGGACGAGATTGGTTAATAAAATTATATAGGTTTCAAGTGTACAATTCTATAATACCTCATCTGTATATTGTGTTATGTATTTACTATTCCAAGTCAAGTTTTCCACCAACATATATTTGACTCCCTTTATCCTTTTCTACCCCCAGCCCCCACTCCCCTTTCCCTCTGGTAACTAGCTCTGAGGGAAATGCAATTCAAAACCACAATGAGATGCCACCACATACCTGTTAGAATGGCTGTTATCATCAAATAATAATCCTATCTAATAAAGAGGGAATATGCTAATTGACTGCCACACCCTCACAAATGGTGGCACCCACAGCCAATAAAGAGGGAATATGCTAATTGACTGTCACGCCCTCACAGGATGGTGGCACCCACAGCCACAAGATGGTGGCACCCGGTACCCTTAGCCCCGCCTCATCCAGCTGGAGTCCCCCAGTCCCCTCAGCCCCGCCGCATCCAGCCTCAGTCCCCCAGTCCCCTCAGCCCTGCAGGGGAAGGCAGTTGGGGGCGATCAGGCTGGCACGGGAGGGCAGTTGGGGATGATCAGGCTGGCAGGCAGACTGGTTAGAGGCAATCAGGCAGGCAAGCAGGCGAGTGGTTAGGAGCCAGCAGTCCCGGATTGTGAGAGGATTGTCCAACTGCCGGTTTAGGCCCGATCCCTGTGGGTCCCAGATTGGAGAGTGTGTAGGCTGGGCTGAGGGACACCCGCTCCCATGTACAAATTTCATGCACTGCGCCTCTAGTCTATATAATAAAAGCCTAAGCAACCATTACGGTGGAACGACCAGAATGACCGGTCGCTATGATGTGCACTGACCACCAGGGGGCAGATGCTCAACGCAGGAGCTGCCCCCTAGTGGTCTGTATGCTCCCACAGGAGGAGTGCCGCTCAGCCAGAAGCTGGGCTCACAGCTGGCGAGTGCAGTGGCGGTGGCAGGAGCCTCTCCCGTCTCCGCGGCAGTACTAAGGAGCAGTGAGCTGAGCAGTAAGGAGCAGCGAGTAGGCGGGCAGTAAGGAACGAGAGGTCCCAGACTGCGAGAGGCATGTCCGACTGCCGGCTTAGAGGGATGTCCCAGACTGCAAGAGGGTGCAGGCCGGGATGAGGGACAACCCCCCACCCCTCAGTGCACGAATTTCATGCACCAGGCCTCTAGTAAGAAGTGTTGGAGAGGTATTGGAGAAAGAACCCTCATACGCTGCTGGTGGGAATGTAAACTGGAAACAGTAAGGAGGTTCCTTAAAAATTTAAGAAGAGTTGCCATATAACCCAGCAATCCTACAGTTTCTTTATTCAACTGTTGATGGATATTTGGGTATTTTCAGGTTTTGGCCATTACACATAAAGCTGCTATGAAAATTTGTGTACAAGTCTTTGTATGGACACTTCTTTCCCTGTAAATAAATATCTTGGTGTGGAGTAGCTGGATAATGTGGATCACATTTGTTCATATGTTTCAACATGAGAAATTGTATGTATATATGTGTGTGTGTGTGTGTGCGCGCGCGTGCGTGCATGTTTTTTATAAGATTTTTTATTTAAATTAATGTTAATTTATTAGTTGAAATTATTAAAATTAATCATCAATTTATTCATTTCAGTTTTAAAATCTAGTTTTTTCTGCCCCAGTTGGGTAGCTCAGTTGGTTGGAGCATCATCCTAAACACCAAAAGGTTGTGGGTCTGATTCCTGGTCAGGACACATACCTCGGTTGCAGGTTCAGTCCCCTGTTGAGGCGAGTTTGGGAGTTGGCCGATCGATGTTTCTCTCTCTCTCACTCCCTTCTCTTTCAAAAATCAGTAAAAACATATCCTCGGGTGAGATTTAAAAAAAAAAGCTCATTTTTTCTTAAATGTTTGTTCAGTTTTACAAATCTTATTTAACTTATAAAATTTAACTTTTATCCTCCTAGGCATAGTTATTTTAAAAAAGCATTGCAAGTTAATTCTAGTTGAAGTCAAGGCTGCAAATCATTGTACAGATGGTATTTACAGCCAAGGACTGAATTAGATCACCTAGACCCGTGGTCGGCAAACCGCAGCCCGTGAGCCACATGTGGCTCTTTGGCCCCTTGAGTGAGGCTCTTCCACAAAATACCACGTGGGGGCGCGCACGTACAGTGCGATTGAAACTTCGTGGCCCATGCCCAGAAGTCGGTATTTTGTGGAAGAGCCACACTCAGGGGACCAAAGAGCTGCATGTGCCTCGAGAGCCATGGTTTGCCGAGCCGCAGTTTGCCAACCACTGAGTCCTAGACCATCATTTCTCAACCTTCGTGTGCATAAAAATACACATAGTTCTGGGACAAGGTTGAGAATTTGCATTTTCAGGAAGCATCCAGTGCAGATTCTCTTGGTTGGGTTGGTGGCCCGCACTTCAAGTAGTACCATCCTATAGGGTTAGTGTAGGTAGAAGACATACCCAAAGACTGACTCCTGGGGCACTGCACAATTTAGAAATTGAGAAAGAGGAGGAGGAATCAGTAAATGAGACTATGAAAGAGTGGTCTGTGAGGCAGGAGAAAAATCAGAAGAACATGGTGTTCTAAAGGTTTGTGAAAAAGTTTTGCTGGAAGAGAAGAGTGATAAACTCAGTTAAATACTTAAAAAGACCGAGTAATGTGAGAGCAACAGTTGATCAATGAATATGATAAAGTGATTGTTGCTGACCTTTAAAGAATTTATTTTGGTAAGTTCTAGAGACAAAAACGGACTGAGGTGGAAAACAGAAGAGAGAAATGAGGCAGTGGCTATAAAGGCATTTGGACTTAGGGAAGGGTATTTTCTTTCTTTGTTTAAGGTAAGAACTATTATAATGTATTTGTATCTAATAGGAATAATCTATTAGAGAAGAAAATAAATATTGTTGGAGCAGAGGAGAAAGGAGATCAGTAGCAGGAGTGGTGTCCTAGAGAAGTGATCCAGTGGGCAGGTGGAGGCATATTTTTTTTAAAAAAATCTTTATTCAGATTATTACAGTTGTTCCTCTTTTTTCCCCCAACAGCTCCCCTCCACCCGGTTCCCACCCCCCACTGTCCTCATCCATAGGTGTACGATTTTTGTCCAGTCTCTTCCCGCATCCCCCACACCCCGTTCCCCCCGAGAATTGTCAGTCCACTCCCTTTCTATGCCCCTGATTCTATTATA